ATAAAATAATGTAGCAATGAATTTCTCCGATGTCAGTGACATTCAAAATGCCATAAAATGATCAAATCATAAAGATTCCTATCAATGGAAATTAACAGCAGTTAAAAAAATCAAAAAAAAAAAATCAATTTGCATTTTTAAAATCAATGTAAACAAAATCTCAAGTGTATTGCTATTGTAATAAATGAATTAATTGTTGTAATCACATGGTGTACTGTAGTTAACCTATGATGTATTGCAGCAATCTCATGGTGTATTGTGGTAATCCTATGGTATATTATTGTAATCCAATGGTGTATTGTGGTAATCCCATGGTGCATTGTGGTAATCCCATGGTGCATTGTGGTAATCCCATGGTGTATTGTGGTAATATCATGGTGTATTGTGCTACTCTCATGGTGTATTGTGGTCATCTCATGGTGTACTGTGGTAAACCTGGAGTGTATTGTGGTAATCCCGTTGTGCATTGTGGTAATCCCATGGTGCATTGTGGTAATCCCAAGGTACATTGTGGTAATTCCACGGTGTATTGTGGTAATCCCATGGAGAATTGTATTAATCCCATGGTGCATTGTGGTAACCCCATGGTGCATTGTGGTAATCCCAAGGAGTCCTGTGGTAATCCCATGGTGCATTGTGGTAATCCCATAATGTATTGTGGTAACCCCATGGTTTACTGTGGCAATCCCATGGGGTACTGTGGCAATCCCATGGAGAACTGTGGTAATCCCATGGAGTACTGTGGTAATCCCATGGAGTACTGTGGCAATTCCATGGAGTAATGTGGTAATCCCATGGAGTACTGTGGCAATTCCATGGAGTACTGTGGCAATCCCATGGAGTACTGTGGCAATTCCATGGAGTAATGTGGTAATCCCATGGAGTACTGTGGCAATTCCATGGAGTAATGTGGTAATCCCATGGAGTACTGTGGCAATCCCATGGAGTACTGTGGCAATCCCATGGAGTACTGTGGCAATCCCATGGAGTACTGTGGTAATCCCATGGAGTACTGTGGCCATCCCATGGAGTACTGTGGCAATCCCATGGAGTACTGTGGCAATCCCATGGAGTACTGTGGCAATCCCATGGAGTACTGTGGCAATCCCATGGAGTACTGTTGTAATCCCATGGAGTACTGTGGCAATTCCATGGAGAACTGTGGCAATCCCATGGAGTACTGTGGCAATCCCATGGAGTACTGTGGCAATCCCATGGAGTACCGTGGTAATCCCATTGAGTACTGTGGCAATCCCATGGAGTACTGTTGTAATCCCATGGAGTACTGTGGTAATCCCATGGAGTACTGTGGTAATCTCATGGAGTACTGTGGTAAATCTATAATGCATTGTGTTATTCCCATGATGCATTGTGGTTATTCTATTATTGAGTGTAGATTGTACAGATTCACATATTAAACTTGATTTTCTTTCTTGAATTTCATTTCGTAAATGCATTTTCAGGTGATGTTATTGCATTTCTGCATTAGGGTTTTGGTTTTAAAATGGTTGAAAAAACATTGTTTGTTTTACACAAATCTGTCATGGTTGTTGTTTCAATTTGTTTTTATCAATTTTTCTTTTTACTCATTCCAAGAATGTTTATGACAGAATAGTTTCATGGATATTTTTAATACTCACCTTAGAGGGCACACTCCAAAGGCATCTGTTGAATCACACACCATATATAACCTCACATAATTGTGGCTGATTTGTTATAGATTCAAATGTGAGAAAACAAATCTTTAATAAATCAGTATGTTCTCCATATGTTCAACAAAAATGCATATGAAAATAAAATGTTGTACCATGTTTTACACAAGATAATTACATTGCCTCTTTTTTTCAGAAATTGTTGCCGTATTTCAAGTTCTTAGTAGCAGATTTTAATGATTCCTTGGTATCATCTGCATCTTTACCATGTCTTGCCATTCTATCTGACCACTATCCTGACATGTTTTGTGAATTCATCGATAAGCTGAGTATGATAGTTGAGAGACAGCCATATCATGTCCATTATGTTGATAAAATATTCACAAATGTAGCAAATCTCAATGAGGTAAGTTTTAATGATTATTAGGCCTGTAATTTGTAAATTTAATTTATTCATTTATAGTAGAGATGCAGTTTACCTGACAGGTATTTTAATTAGTTAATTAGGAAACCAAGATGACATCCCTTGTCCACAACACTATATATTTACGGAAAGCTTATTGTATGAATTTGAAAATATTTTGTATGGACACTGTAGTTTGAAATATGCACAAAAATGTGCTTTTTTGGTCAAAAGTGATTTTAAAAAAAATAGCTTCTAAACCATGCCTCTGTTTTCTGTCAAAATTGGTTTACGGGTACATCTGTTTACTATGAAGAAAGTGGCATCTTGAAAACTGTCTACCAGTTGTCAATTTTGCTGGGCAGCAGCTAAAATTTTACTAATTCAAGTTTATACATAAATTAACACCAACGGCGTCTAGGAGCTTTTTTTTTAAAGTTCTGGGATGTGCACTAAAAAGAAGCTGAGATAATTGCTAATTTGCATAACAATTCACACAGTAAGAAGTTTGCTAATGCTCATAATTAAAATGGCTGTAACAGTTCCAAATTTAAATGTATTATCGTTTTGTTAAAAGTTAAATATAGTGCATAATATGGAGATCCCGTCATTACTTTTTTTCACCATGTTTCTTTTTTATTATTTATGTACAACCTTGCTAAATCTTGCTAAGCCTTCAAAAGAGAGAATGTTTGCACTGTTATCTATACTTTAAAATCGTCTTTTGAGTATGTTCCATTATTCAAAATTCTACAAATTTGTAACAGTTAATAGCCATGACTGTTTGGATAATAAAAAGCTGAAAAAAAAAATTCACTCCCAAGTGCCCACGAACCTGCATCTCTACCTTAAAAGAGTACATGCACAGTATAGAAATATAAATACTTAACACAGAATAAAACAAGCCAATGATAAAATGATGAGAGCATGGCCTGACAATACAATATATATGCATAAATGGGTAACAAATGAATTGACAACAAAAAAAATATTCAAATAAAATATTATCAAGAGCTGTTGCTGCACCATGTTTACAGGTGCAACTGTAAGACATCATTGTTTGACCATAAACAGGAATTAACATACTATTCTAATTTTGTATTTCAGAAAGAAGCTCGGAGAATACTCACAAATTGTTTGGTTCAATTCAAAGCGGTGGATGAGAGTTATTATCCTGCTGTATTCACATGTATCAAAGAAATTGGTGTCAAGTATCCTAAGGTCCTAACCAACTACAGTAGTGCAATACAAGCATTAGGATCCACCAATGGAACTCAAAACTATGTACAATGTCTGTTAAATTTCTTGGATGGAACAAGGTAACATTTTAAACCATGAGTTCAAGTAAAAATGGGTTTAAATTGAAGGCAGCATTTTGACATACTTTTTAACCCAAACTGAATGATCTTTTGTGACATTTGTGACACTGAATCACCAAAACGAGACATATCACCATGACATATCACCAAGACAAAACATATCACCAATACATATCCCTAGGACAAAACATATCACCATGACATATCACCAAGACATATCACCAGGATATATAACCACAACAAAACATATCACCAAGACATCACCATGACATATCAACAAGACAAAACATATGACCAAGACATATCACTAGAACAAAACATATCATCAGGATATACCACCAGGACATATCACCAAGACATATCACTAGAACAAAACATATCATCAGGATATACCACCAGGACATATCACCAAGACATATCACTAGAACAAAACATATCATCAGGATATACCACCAGGACATATCACCAAGACATATCACTAGAACAAAACATATCACCAAGACATATCACTAGGACAAAACATATCACCAAGACATATCACTAGAACAAAACATATCACCAAGACATATCACTAGAACAAAACATATCACCATGACATATCACCAAGACAAAACATATCACCATGACATATCACTAGAACAAAACATATCACCAAGACATATCACTAGGACAAAACATATCACCATGACATATCACTAGAACAAAACATATCATCAGGATATACCACCAGGACATATCACCAAGACATATCACTAGAACAAAACATATCACCAAGACATATCACTAGGACAAAACATATCACCAAGACATATCACCAAGACAAAACATATCACCATGACATATCACTAGAACAAAACATATCACCAAGACATATCACTAGAACAAAACATATCACCATGACATATCACCAGAACAAAACATATCACCATGACATATCACCAGAACAAAACATATCACCATGACATATCACTAGGACAAAACATATCACCAAGACATATCACCAGAACAAAACATATCACCATGACATATCACCAGAACAAAACATATGACCAAGACATATCACCAAGACAAAACATATCACCATGACATATCACTAGAACAAAACATATCACCATGACATATCACCAAGACAAAACATATCACCATGACATATCAACTAGAACAAAAC